GGGCGGAGTTGGGGCAGGGGCGTGGGCGGGGCTGGGGGCGGGGCCGGGGCCCCATGGAGTGTCCTCCATTTGGAGGCACAACATATGGTAACCCTACCGTCCGGGCTCCCTCCATTACACCAGCCAACTCCTGAAACTCTCTCCAGCGTCTCCCTCAGCCTCTCCCCGGCTCCTCCCCCAGCCTTTGTCCAGTTTCCCAGGCAGAGGTGTCACCTGGCCCCAACCCCCTTCCTGGGTTCTCACGTTACATGCTCAGGTATCTTCCCTCAAGGCCAGTATCCCATCCCCCAATGCAGCCCCCCAACCAAACCCCCCTGCCACCTTCCCAGGCCAACACTCCCCACTCAGCATTCAAAGACCACATTCAGAACAGTCCCAGTTCATCACATAAACCTTCTGTGTCCCCGGCTGGCTGCGGAGTTGGGGGGCAGGACCCCCAGGACCCCGCCTGGGCGGACTCGCTGCGGGAAGTGCACGGGGGGACGGGGAGGCTGGATGCTCCGGGGTCAGACCCAGGAAGGTGGAAGCTGTGGAAGCTCCTTGCCCCGGGACAGTCTGCTCCGAGAGAGGTGACTCCCCGAGTCCTGGCCGGCTCCGAGCATCGCCCCGGGACACAGACGGGTTATTAGCCGACGGGAACCCAGCGTAGGACAGGGCTTGTTAGCACAGACATCAGGGACTTCCAGCGACGTCCATCTGGGGGGGACCCCGGGCCTGATGCCCTGGGCTCTGCCCCCCGAGTCCCAACCGGGAGCCTGCTCGGTTCCAGCTGCCAGGCTCCAGACACCCGCATTGCCCCTCCTCCAGTCCTTGCCCTGCTCCCCTGGTCGCATCCCCCTCCTGGGTCCCGGGTGACGAAGGGCACCGGCCATCGCCTACGTGCAGGCCGCTGGAGCAGCCTCACCTGCCCCTGAGGGTCTCAGCCAAAGTCACCCCCCCAATTCCCACCACCCAGCATTGGTGCAGCACACAGGGAAACTGAGGCACACACCATATTCATGCACAACAGACTGGCACACAACATAACAAGGGGCAAACCCACTTCGTCACGCCCTCGGGGCACAGGGGCTGGGCACACGGGGACTCCTCGCCCGGCACTGGGATGCGGCCCCTCTGGGGTAGGGGGGCGGTGAACTCCCAGCCAAGCTGCGCACAGGTTCGAGACAGGAAGTGACGGAGACGCTGAAGATGACTGAAGGGAGGGGCCTGAACAGGGAGCTGGCAGGACGCCTGGGTTCACGCAGGGCTCTGAGGACAGGGCACCCCCGCTGAGCCCCTCTACCCACCCCGAAAGCTGTTTCCATCACGTCATTCACGCCGGCGGCTCCCGGCAGGAAACGCTGCGTCCCGGCATCGCCCCCCCCCCCCCCCCCCAGCCGCGCCCGGCTCCCGACACGGCCCCGGCCAGCCATGGGGCACCGCCCGGCCCGGCCCACGGGTCCTCGCCACCCCCCACGAGCCGCTGGTACGCCGGACACCCTCCGCTCCCAGCCTTGACGTGAGTAGCCTGTGGCCCGTCCCCCCCTTCGGAGC